CCCCAAAACCCCAAAACCCCAAAACCCCAAAACCCCAAGTATAAAAAAGAGTATAGAAGCGAACAATTATAATATTAAGTTAAATTTCTTAAGAAAATGAGCAAGGGCACTAGCCATGGCAAAGATGGCAAGGAAGAAGAGTATGTAATTGTTGAAGAGAAAGTAGTCAAATACAACGGTGAAATTGCTGTTAAAAGATACCAGAGAGGAAGGTTCCTTGGTAAAGGAGGATTTGCTAGATGCTATGAATTCCAAAACTTAGACACAAAGAAAATTTCAGCCGCGAAGGTCATCGCTAAAAGTTCCCTGACTAAGAGTAGAGCCAAGCAGAAGCTGATGAGTGAGATTAAAATTCACAGATCTCTCCACCATAACAATATTGTAGGATTTGAGCACTTCTTCGAAGACAGTGAAAATGTCTATATCACATTGGAATTATGATCCAATCAAACTTTGAACGAGTTGATCAGAAGGAGAAAGAGACTCCATGAACTAGAGACTAAATGCTATATTGTACAGATTATCTCTGCTCTGAGGTACCTTCATTCCCACAGGATCATTCACAGAGATCTTAAACTTGGAAATCTGTTCTTGTCTGCCAAGATGGAACTTAAAATAGGAGATTTTGGTTTGGCAACCAAACTTGAGTTTGATGGTGAAAGGAAAAGGACTATTTGTGGTACTCCAAATTACATTGCCCCAGAAATTCTTGAGGCCAAACAAGGTCATTCATATGAGGTTGACATCTGGTCTCTTGGAGTTATATTATATACCATGCTCATTGGAAAGCCTCCGTTTGAAACTGCAGACGTTAAAACAACTTATCGTAGAATCAGGATGAACGCATACACATTCCCCGACCATGTACATATTTCTGAGTCTGCTAAAGACATGATTAGTAAGATCTTAACTAATGATCCTGCTAAAAGACCAACCCTTGATGAACTTTTGATGCATGATTTCCTTTATAACGAGGGATCAATTCCCAGACTTTTGCCTGCTAGTACTCTGGCCTGTCCTCCTTCTGCAACTTACATCAAGCAATTCCAGTCAGATGATTATAGCCCAAGAAGAATCCCTGATGTCAAGGATAGGATCAAGAAGGTATCTGAAGCTGAGAAAGAGGACACCTCCTCAAGACCAGAAAGCAGGAGCTACAAAGGCCCTAAAGTCTGGGTCAAGAAATGGGTTGACTACAGTTCAAAATACGGACTTGGATACCTTCTTTCTAACACTAGCACCGGTGTTTTCTTCAACGACTCTACAAAAATAGTCTTAGACACTGATGGTCATAACTTTATTTACTATGAAAGAAGATCTAGTGATAAAAAGGATATTGGTACTAGCCATACTCTTGGAGATTACCCAAAAGACCTACAGAAGAAAGTCACCCTTCTCCAACACTTTAGGAGCTATCTCGAAGGATCTAATAAGAAAGGCGAAGGAGAAGAGAGTAAAAGTATTGGTACTGAAAGAATGAAGAAGGATGAAGAAGAGAAGAAAACTGAGCCCAAGGCCGATATCGCTAAGAAAGAAATGAGTGACGATACTGTCTATGTCAAGAAATGGATGAGAACAAGACATGCTATTATGTTCAGGCTGAGCAACAAGGTTGTGCAAGTCAATTTCCAAGATCATACTGAGATAATCCTGAGTAGTGAATCTAAAGTTGTGACATATGTTAATAAGAAGGGAGAGAGACTTACTTATCCTCTCTCTACAGCAATGGAGTCTAGCAATATGGAAATGGCTAAGAGACTTAAGTACACAAAGGATATCCTGACTCATATGCTTCAATCAAACCAGACAAACAGAACAACAAAGGATACTACTGACAAAAAATAATGAGATCTGACAGAAATCCCCTATTCGATCATTTCATGAATAATTCCAATAATCTTATTTCGAGGGGTTTTGGGGTTTTGGGGTTTTGGGGTTTTGGGG